AATTCGCAAATCGTAAAAATTAAAAAGAAATGGTGACTAAATCACAAAAAAGCTAATCTTAAAGGGACCTAAGGCACGATTAACCCTACAAATAGTTACTAAAACGCGGATCACATTAAACAGAAAGGACCAGTAGGTGATTTAACCTTAAACTAGTGACCTAAATACAAAACACGCTAAAGGTATAGGGACCTTAGAGTGATTTTTCCAAAACGTAAAATAACAAATACCTTTCCCCTTTCCCAAACTCATTTCTGCTCGATAACTAATCCCTAACTCTCCCTTTCTTCTCTCCTTCTCTCCTTCTCTCAACCCACGGCAACCGCTCACCCCAAAGAATTCGAAACCCTCACCGCTTCGGCCACCCTACATGGGTGGTCATTCCCAACTACCCACCATCGATGCCTTGAAACCCCTCGTAATAGACCCCGGCGATAACCTAACCTAACCCCCCCATCACTCTTCACGCACGGTGGCCAACCGTCCATTGAGCCATAGCCAACCACCCCTCGGCCACCTTATATGGGTGGCCATTCTCCTCTAGTTTGTAACCTACCCCCTGTAGGAACACTGCTCAGACCACTACAATAAGACTTACTGGAGATCCTCTCTTCTAGTGAGAACCAAGTCTCGAAACAACCACCCCACGCGGTGGTCCGGCGACCCTAACTCAACAATGACTAACCTATCATCTCCTCGACGACTGTGCTACCCGACGAACACTCAATGGCAGTAAGGTATCTTTCCTATCTCTATTTTATTTTTATTTTTTCTTCAAGTATAGAACTAGCATCGAACAAAAGAAAAAAAAACACATTATAATAAGAATACCTTAAAAGTTTGATTGATGAGAAAAGAACTTGTAGAATTTCTTTTTGATTTCTCAGAATTTTTGCTCTCTGTCCGTGTGTACATTATGTTTTCCATTTCTCGGGTTATATACCCAGTACAGAAAAAAAAAATCCTCTCCCACTAAGCTGTCAGAGCAATTGCACATCCTAGACTGGAGCAGGGTTTGGTAGGCACTGTTGGTGGCAGAGAGATAAGGCACGGGGACTACGTTATCAGGATCTGGGTCTGGACCGGGTCGGGTCCTGGGTCGGATCCGGATGGGGTCCTGGGTTTGTTGGTTTGTTTTTTTTGTTTTGGTTGGATTTATAACTTGGGCTAGTTTGGGGTTTGAAGGGGTTAGGGTCTTGAGGTGTGGATTATGAAAAATGGTGATTACAAGATAGAATGTGTGTGATCTCTGTGCTACCATTTTGCAGAACTTCAGCAGCATCCCCTATGTTTCCAATAAATAGATTCTCACGAATAAGGTGCATGACCACCAAACACAAATGATCGTTTGTATTAAAATCTTGGGCTCTTTTGATTCGCTTTCCTGCAAAAATATAGAATACCTAATTATATTAACCGATGCCAAAGTGTAATGAGAGAAAAAAGGATAAGGTAATGCAGTCAAATGATGGAAAAGTAGCATTCCCTTAATGCATTAAGTACTACAAGTTATTGAAAATAACCAATTAAGGGTAACCTCCCAAATGGAAACCAAACGCATTGAGAATTACTTATCATTTACCAAATAACACCTAACTATTTCATTTTTAACGTTCATAACCAATGGAATTATGAAAAATAAATCACTACTATTTACTGAAGTCAGGTGACAAAAGCAAGTTCTTTTGCAAAGTGAAAAAATTGTTTCAAGTTTCCGTTTTTCTCCAATTTTTCTTTACTTTCTCGGTAACCAAACAGGAAGTGAACTATCTGTAGTCAAATGAGAGAAATGTTAAGGTAATGTGGCCAAATGATGAAAAAAAATAGCATCGCCTGAAGGCGTTAAGTACATGTTATTGAAAATAACCAATTAAAGGTATTCTCCAAAAAAGAAAGCAAACGAATTGAGCGATTACTTATCACACCAAACAGCACTTACCTGTTCCATTTTTAACATTCGAAACCAATGAACATGAAATGCTACCCTTAACTGAACTCAGATGACAAAAGCAGGTTCTTTAGCACGGTGAAACAATTGTTTCAAGTTTCCATTTTCCTCCGATTTTTGTTATTTTATTGGTAACCAAACACGAAGTGAATTAATTGTAGTCAAATGTGAGAAATGATGAGGTAATGTCGTCAAATAATGAATAAAAATAGCATTGCTCGAATTCATTAAGTACTACGTGTTATTGAAAATAACCAATTTAAGGCTAATCTCCTATATGAGATTGACAATCACTTATCATTTACCAAACAACACCTAACTGTTCCATTCTTAACATTCAAAACCAATGAACATAAAATACTACCCTTTTGCTGAACTCAGATGAACAAAAGCAGGTTCTTTATCACAGTGGAACAATTGTTTTCAACTTTCCGTTTTCCTCCGATTTTCCTTAACTCGCACGGTAACCAAATGGGAAGTGAACTAACTGTCATCAAGTGAGAGACAATAAGGTATTGTAGTCAAATGATGAAAAACATATCATTGCCTGAATGCATTAAGCACTATATACTATTGAGGAAAGACTAATTAAGTGTAGTCCAAAATATGATGGAGAATCACTTGTCATTTCCCAAACAGAACCTTCCGTTTTGAAGGGGCTATTTGAAGGTGTTTGACTGATGGAGGACTGATAGTTTTCGGGTTCATCTCCCAATGTATAACAATATAAACTAAATAAATTAAGTTTTTAATTCACCTCATCTTCTTCTTCATCAAAATTATTATTTTTCACTTATTTTTAATTACCTTGAAAATTGTCACTCTCTCACATTTTTTACAATTATCCTAGACATTGATGAACTCGTATCATCATCATTTACCACTTCAGCGATTTTGATATTTTTCAAAAATCTTTTTAAAATTCACGAATTTAAACAAAAAAATCTAAATTATTTTTGAGGAGTTTTTGAAATTTTCTTGAATTTGAGGGTTTTAAAGTATTTGTTCGAAAATTTGAATGAAGAAAAGAATTATTTTGACAAGACGAACAACATATCTCAAAACTAGTCTTGTCAGACGATCATTGTAAAAGAACTTAGTATTAACACGTTGAATCTTTATATTAATTTTTATTAATTTTGAGTGAATTTTTATTGATATATATATATATATATCAAAACGCCGTTGATCATTCCAAAACAATTACTACTACTTTTAACCAGACATTCAAATAGCGGCTAAATAACTAAATAGTGGTCGTTATATCGCGGTCGTGTCTGAAACTACTATCGCGGAAAATAACGTTGTGAAGCGGAATCACACTAATAGCGGTGGATCGCGGCCACAATTTAACAAATAGCGGCTAATCGCAACAATAGCAGACCACTTTCTGCTTCTTTTATTATAAAAAAACAGCTTTTTGTATACCCATTTTTGTTTAAAATAATATTTTTAAAATTTTAGAATCCAATTTTAAAAATTTTAAATCTACTCGTATCAATGGCCGAATGTGAGACACTCCTCTTGTGTAATGGATTCGCGTCCATCTGATTCATTGTATATATGCAATAACAAAAACAACAGCTCTGAGGTGAAGATCACACAGCCCCTTACAGTGCAGACGCAGTGGTACGTGAGAATGAAGTCATTTCTCTGATCAACAATCTGTCCAAAATTTTACACACATTCTAGTAACAGTCTAATCTATAATCATTGTAAATTATGCAATGCACTTGTCAAAATATACGTGACAATAACAACATTAGAATCGATCCCACAATAAAAAAGACATCAATATTAAACTACATAAACCTTGAGAGTAGATGACAACCTAAAAGTAGATTGTTTAACCTGAAATCTGTCGAGGACGAAGAATCTTTAGGATTGATACACAATGGTTATTTGCTACCATACACTGTTACATTGATAAAAATTTAAGAGTTCCACTTTAGCTTTTCAATGACTAATAATGAGAAATTATTCCACAAGTTCTACATTGAATATTCACAATTAAAATGGCTTTCGTTGTACGTTTAAGGAGCATGCTCTGTGTGCAGTTACAGTAAGGCTTATGGCAATCATTGCAGCAGCTCAACCAGAACAACAGTGGAAATAATAAGCATCCAATACCCTTTTGAACAGGCAATAGTTGCAACATTAGCAGCAACTTTTTCATTCGTTGTAGCACCACTTTTGACCCCTTGAAAGCATTCTTAACCTCCATAGCCATCTGTACTGCTCGAAGTTCAGCACACCAAGAGCACCCGAAAACAAAACAGACACCTATCCACATTGAATTACAGAGAACCTTGAGGCTTTAATCCGGTGAAGGGATAAAGTTTTATCAAATCCTTGTTCAAACACTGATTCATTCTTCGCAAGTCATCAAACTTTAATCAAGGAAGAGAAAAATAGGAGGGGCTGCACTCGGATCGACTGCTACTATACACTGTTACATTGATGATAGATGATGTTTCAATATGTCATCATAAGGGGAAAGTCAAGTGATTAATGTATAAATAAGCTCATAAAATTTTGAAGGCCAAAGATTTATTATTGGTTTCCAACAGGTATAAGTGAAGCACCCTTCAATAACTTGAAAAACTTTAGGCTAATCATCTCTAGCAGTTTCAGTAATGCCCTACAACAAATTAAACACTACATTAGGTGATACAGCTAAACGAAATCTTATTACAATGAAAAAATCAAGGAGTCTCATAATACAAATAATATGTACCTCACTTTGCAAAGATACATTAAGTGAGACATTAAGGAAATAAGAATTTTAAGTATTCATGCACTTTTGAACCTAAGATGAAGAAAGCACTATCAAAGAACCTTTCTTATCAAAGTTAAGAATAACCATATGCATTATAAATATAGACGTGCTTACTTGATTCACGTCATTTTTTGTTAGAAGTAGAAAAACTGCCTTGATCTTTTATAGAATTTTCCATTTCCTCGATGAGACTCTACGTTTAATAATCCTTAAGAGAATTAATATTATTTACGACAAAGAAAAGAAGAAAAATTAAAATGAACTTAGACCAACTTGGGTGTTAGAAGTTGAAGGCTTGCTTTGATCTTCTTTAGAATTCTCACATTCTTCGATCATGACACGCTGCTATGACCACCAGGTGAAAATCAGAATCTAATACAATTTATTATGTTATCATGTACATTCATAATCAGCAACCTCACTGTAGTGTGAATAATGAGCACTTGTCTTAATTCTAAATAATACATGGCATCCTGTTATGGTCACAGGACATTTGAGAAAACATAGCTTTTCTTTGAATAGCTGTTGTATGGTGCTATTAAGGCTGCCTTCCAAATGTACTTCTTCTCCTCCCCACTTCTGTAATTGTACTTTGTTCAACATTGGAGTGTTTGAGTGTCCTTGAGAGAACATCATCATCTTTGGGCAATTATCTACAACTAGATCTTCCAAGGATGGGAATGAAAAGGTATAATTCCCTGATGAGCAGAAGCTTTCTATCTTTGGTAGACCTTTGAGTTTCAAACGGTTGAGTTGGGAGAAACTGATTTCGTCATCATCATCCCTACCTTGTATTATTTCTTCTATATTTTTGCAAAAGGATATACTCATTTCTTTGAGCTGCACTAGACTTTTGGCTGTGGGATGTGTGATTAATTTTTTGATTCCATCACATCCCTCTACTCTCAAAGCCACCAGATTTCAGAAAGATACCGAGGATGGAACTAAAATAGATTTTAACTCGGGACAGTATCTCACATGAAGTATCCTTAGATTTGGGAATCCTTCCTTTTCCTTCCATAGATGCATCAATTCAGGAAGATCACTCAACCATAATTCAGTTATCTGAGAGAGAAGCAGCAATGCAGGCTTTTCCTCACCACCTTCTTCACTTTGGAATACCATCTCTTTAAAATCAGACCACCCTATTTCGAGTGTTTGAAGATTGGGTAAGGCTAATAACCAGAACAAGTAAGATGGCAATAATTGCTTATAATACCACTCAAGTTTGACGACTTTCAGGTTGCGCAAGCAATGAGACAAAAGTTACTGTTGTTGTTGGCCCTCGCAATGACATATGATGTCTTTCATTCCAGCATTCCATCTCAAAGTGAGTTGATGTAGATTTGGAAACGTAAAGTTGCTGTTGTTGTTGGCCCTTTGAAAGATGAGCATAACAGTAACCCTAAAGTCCATTGAATAAAACATCACTTTACAAATGATTAATAAAGCATGAACTATATGTGACTACTAACATTAGATATTGAAGGAAAAAAAGGAGCAAATTGTAGAATCTTGAATGAAGAGGATCAAGCAACTCTACAATCAAATCAAACCATTACTTGCACAAACATAAGTCGACGAGCATGAATTACACAAAGGCACACTGACCTGTGGAACCCATTTCGGCGAGACAAAACTCGTGGCCTCGACGACATTCAACCCTGAAGCAACCGGCATTTTAAAACCTGGAGTGTAGTATATATAGTGTAGAGTATGAAAAAATAAGCAGCTACAATAGAAAAAACCACAAAAGAAACAACAAAGTGAGCAAACAAATCAAATAAAAGAATCGAGGTTCTGTTCATGCAAAATAAAAGTTCCAATTGACCTTAGTTGTGGGACGATGACTGCAATTGGAGCTGTAAGGATAAGTCGAAGACATGCTCTGCTTATCTGTAGGACTATGGCTTCCTATACTCTTAAGTAGTTTAGGTGCTCTGCTTCCCATCAGCCTTGATATCTTCTCAACTCGCCTCGCCCCTATCATTTCAATTATGATTTTCCAAGCAAATATCCACACACCTGAATAGTTGCAGGGGCAAAACGAAAGCAATTTTTAGATGGATGAATCCCATATCAGCAGCAGCAGGTTTGAATAAGAAAATGAAGTTAAGAGAAACATAATGAATAGTTTAGTGACCATTTTGTAACTTTTAATAGTCAAGAGATTCAACAAAGTAACTCCCTATAATTAGGTGACCATTTTGTAATTTTTAATAATCAAGGGACACAATAAGGCAGTATCCTATAGTCGAGGGAGCTTTTGTGTACTTTACCCTTATTAAAAAAGGGTAAACTCTAAAACGATCCTTTCCGACACTCAATATTTCTTTTGATTTCCCTGTTTAGATTATGATGAGTACGGTAGATATGAATTCACCTTCGTTAATAAGCCGGCGACGAATGGGGTTGACCGTGAAAGACCGGTGCTTACATAGCTTGGTTCGAGCTCCACAGCTGAACTCAACCCCTAGGCTGAACCAAATTCGAGCTTGATCGGCCTAACTTAGTCTCTGGTTTGGTTCAAGTACGTAAAAACTACTACATGACCCATACTTTGAACCAAGTTAGTCTAAATCCACATTCGAATTCATTAGTTTCGTAGTGCACTTTTGCAGGTGGAGTATCCAAATGCCTGCTATAGTTGCTCGTTCCATTTCGTAGTGCATTCCGGGAAAAACAGATGTCAAATTTCACTTCTTTCAGTTCGAACTTTTCCGAAATCATATCCGTTTGTAGTTTTATTCATGGCACTTCAGCCAAGGATAATTGTCTTTGGAAAGACGACCGCGTCCTTTTCCATGGCAGTCCGATTCCTAACTGGTCCTGAGGTCATGGCAGCTGCCTCGATCACTGTCGGATTAAGAGGTGTTCTTCTCCACATTGCTATCATGCAGGTAATATCAGTTTCCGGTGACTGTATATCTACCCTTAAAAAAAAGTATACTTAATCGGAGATCAGAATCGTTTCGAGTTTTCAGGCAGCTCTTCCACAAGGCATGGTCCCTTTCGCCTTTGCCAAGGTATACAATGTTCATCCTGATATATTAAGCGCAGGGTAAGTTGTATTAATGTTCAATGTGTTATTTTGGGATTCTTAAAAATTGGTCTAATTATAGTTTTAGTTCCTCTACTACGCTGAAATGAATGATTTCCATTCATAATTCCATTCAGGGTCATATTTGGGATGCTGATTGCCCTTGATAAACTGCATTATACTGGGACTTTGAAGCTTGGGAAATGGAAAGATGAAGGACTAATAGGCTATTAAACCATCATTTCGTAAAAAGGAATTTGGTTTTCCAAAACCAGATAAAAATAAAGAAATGAGCATACATCATTGCCAAAAATACTTCCACTACAAATATATATTTACAAATGCGAAGATGGTTTATTTAGACTAGATCAAGAATCCTCGTAACATAAATTGCATACTTCGCCACACATCAAATCCATTTTTTTAACCTTCAAACACTGATTCATTCTTCGCAACCCATCAAACATCAATCAAGTCATAGAAAAATAGAAAGAGCAACATCCGCTTCAACTAGTTTTCTGCTATCGTACACTGTTACATTGATGATAACAAATGTTCAATATGATGCCATAAGAGGAAAAATCAAGTGATTATTATTTAAACTCATAAATCAATGAGATATTCAGGAAATAAGAATTATAAGTATTTCTGCACTTTTGAACTTAAGATGATGAAAGCATTACCAAAGAAACTGTCTTATTGAATCTAACAATAACCGTATGATGCGATATACGTATATATATGCTTACTTGATTCAGGTCATTCGAAGATAGAAATTGAAGAATTGCCTTGATCTTTTATGGAATTTTCCACTTCCTCTGTGAGATTCTACATTTAATAATACTTGAGAGAAGTTAATAACTTTTATGAAAGAGAAAAGAAGAATAAGGAATTAAAATGAATTTAGACTTACTTGGGTGTTAGAAGTGGAAGGATTGCTTTGATCTTCTTCAGGATTTTCACCTTCCTCGATCATGGCATGCTGTTATGATCACCAAGTGAATAACATAATTAAATATATATTTTTATGCTACCATGTTTACTCGTAGATTTATATTAGATTTATGTTGTTATGAACGGTATGGATTTTCAATTTGTTGGTAAAAGCAATTTAAAAAGTATTATATTGACCAGTATCAAGTAATGTGTATATATTGTTTGTAGTGAGTGGAATGTAAATCCAATTACAAGAATATTGTAAAATAGTAAATGAAAAGGAAATTTGAGAAAACACACCTTTTGTCTGAATAGCTGTTGTATGGTGCTGTTAAGGCTGCCTTCCAAATGTACTTCTTCTCCTCCCTAACTCTGTAATTGTACTTTGTTCAACATTGGAGTGTTGAGTCTCTTAGAGAGAATATCTTCATCTTTGGGCAATCCTCTACAACTAGATCTTCCAAGAATGGGAATGAAAATGTATAATTCCCTGATGAGAAGAAGCTTTCTAGCTTTGGTAGTCTATCAAGTTCCAAACGGTTGAGTTGGGGGAAACTGACTTCATCATCATCATCATCGTCCCCACCTTGTATTATCTCTTCTATATTTCTGCACCGCGTTATACTCATTTGTTTGAGCTGCACTAGACTTTTGGCTGTGGGACGTGTGATTAATTTTTTGATTCCATTACAGTCCTTTACTCTCAAAGTCACCAGATTTCGGAAAGATACCGAGGATGGAACTAGATTACCTTTTAATTCAGGGCAGAACTCAACAAGTAAAATCCTTAGATTTGGGAATCCTTCCTTTTCCTTCCATAGATGCATCAATTCACTAAGAAAAATAATCCTTAATTCAGTTATCTGAGAGAGTAGCAGCGATGCAGGCTTTTCCTCACCACCTTCTTCACTTTGGAATACCATCTCTTTAAAATCAGAATGCAATATTCCGAGTGTTTGAAGATTGGGTAAGGCTAATAACGGGAACAAGTAAGATGGCAATAATTGCTCCTTATTCCCTCCCAAAGTGAGTTGATGTAGATTTGGAAACGTAGACTGCACAATTCCCCATTGTTTCGTTAACAACAGAAACATAGGATGCCTTGTTCAAAATTGAAACAGTTCAATACTAAAAAAGTAATTCAAAATATTTCATAGAAAATAAAAGAAAACATAACACCAAAAGAATTCAAGTTCAGAAAATAACTTATTAAATAGAATGCATGCGATTTTACAGATATGAAATATCTATAAATTTAACTAAAAAATGAAATATCTATAAATTTTACAGATATTAAATAGAATTCAAGAATATATATACTTTAACTTTCAATATCGTCTTTCAAAGAAAAGGTTGGAATATGAGT